CAGAGGAACCAGAGGAACCACCAGTGGATCCAGTGGATCCACCGGAGGAACCAGAGGAACCACCAGTGGATCCAGTGGATCCACCGGAGGAACCAGAGGAACCACCAGTGGATCCAGTGGATCCACCGGAGGAACCAGAGGAACCACCAGTGGATCCAGTGGATCCAGTGGATCCACCAGTGGATCCACCGGAGGAACACTGCTCTCCTCTGAAGGACAGACACAGTCCTCTTCTTCCTCCTCCAGCCTGCCGAAGGTTAAAGTGTGGAGGTTCACCCCCAGGCCCACAGACCCTCCCACCTCCTGCTGCTCCTCCTCACTTCTCCGTCGGGTCAGACCTTCAGAACTCAGAGAGTCCTGTTCAGTTCTGGGCCAGGTCTCTGTTAAAGTCTGAGGCTGCAGACTGGACCCGTCTGGAGTTCTGGAGCAGGAAGTGGTCTCTGCTTTCTGTTCGGAGGACAAAGATGATGATGAAGAGGAGGATGAGGAGTGGAGGTTGGTGCCGATCCGTTCAGTGTAACCTCCTCCTCTTGATGAGCTCCTGCAGGAGGTCTCACAGTCTTCATCACTGTCCTCTGATGAAGACTGGCTGCTCCTCTTGGTGCCTGCAGGGGGCGCCACCAGCCTGACGCTCACCAGGGAGGACAGGGAGGCCTGGACCAGATTCTCCTCCTGGTGATCCATGTTCATCTGATGGACAGAACCAAACAGACCAGATCAGTTTTTATCCAGTTCATTTATTTATGTTCATCTGTAAAATAAAGAGTTTATTTATTTATGTTCATCTGTAAAATAAAGTTTATTTATTTATGTTCATCTGTAAAATAAAGAGTTTATTTATTTATGTTCATCTGTAAAATAAAGTTTATTTATTTATGTTCATCTGTAAAATAAAGACATGAATTAGTAAAATAAAGTAGTAAAATCACTGAAGTAGTAAAAGAAAGAAGTAAAATCACTGAAGTAGTAAAATAAAGTAGTAAAAGAAACGTATTCACGTGTGACTTTAACAACATTTCTTATTTAATGGAAACTCTGCTGTTGTAAAACTGTGTGTTTTTTCGACATCACCAGAATACCAACAAAGTTTTGCACATTTGCAGTGGAAACACTGATGAAGTTGGACTCACCAGGATCGGTGGCAGTGGGATCTTCTTCAGACAGAGGAAACCGGTCCCGACCAGCAGTCCCAGTCCCACCAGCACCATCAGCACCAGTGAGATTAAAGTGATTGAGATGAGTGCATCTGCAGGGAGGACATGTAGGTTAGTCTGACACACATCTGACTTCCTTCAGGTTCTGGATCCTCTACACACAGCTGGCCCGTACCTGCAGAGAGCCTGGCAGGAGTGGAAACACAAACAGGTTGGCTGAAGTTGGAGATTTTGTTCTCAAGGCTGTCGGAGAACTGGACCGAGACGCAGTACTGTCTGCCGGCCTGCAGGTCCGTCAGCACCTGGGTTTCCAGAGACCTGAAGGCTTTAAATTTCTGCACAGATTCAAAGACAGAACAACACAGAGACATGAAGCTGAGACACTTTAAAGTTTTAATGAATGTGTTAATGTTTTTAAACCTCTGAAAGACTGATTTAAGACAGGTTAAGACTCATTAAGGTCTTCTTTTTGGATTTGTGAATTTGAAGCATTTTAAACTAAGGGTCTGTGGGAACCCTAAATAATCTCAAAAATAATCTCCAGACTAARAGAATATCATGATTATCATTAGGTGCAGCCCTGTTTGTGCAACACTGACTTCACTGAGTATATTCCAGTGATAACATGAGCCACTGTAGCGTAATACTGCCAACTAGAGGCACATCACTTAACTACAGCCCTGCACATGACGCTGCAGTTTGAGGAGGTGATTTGGTGAAACAGACTTTTGGCTCATGGTGATAAACAAACAGTTGTTGAGGATTGTTAGTTCTGCTGCTTCTTGGTCCTTTTCTTATGTTTCTGGTAGAGCTTTAGTAAGAAAGCAAACAATATATTGGTAATTTGAAACTATGTATTGGATTAGTCCTCTACATTGTGCTGCATGCAATGGAAGTTATTTTTGTTGTGTTGCTGACATTTTTATGTTTATATTTTTTATTGTTGCTTTTTTGTATTTTTCACTAGTGATTCATTTCTTAAAAGAGTGTAGTAGAAGGTAACGACAACTATATGGTTTGTGTTGGAGTTAATACCAAACATTTAATTTCCATTCCTGTATTTGATCATAGTTGACTAAATAAAGGCAGAATCACATCATTATTCAATGAACCAGTATCAGTACTGGTTTCAGAATCAGTAATACACAGTACTACCTTGTTATCTGATTGGTACCAGAGTTCCTAGTATCGCCCACCCTAGTTTAACAAGAAAAAGCTGAACTTCATGGCGGTCTAAATCCCCCACAGCTCCAGGTCAGGTTCTGACATCTACAGATGTCAGTTTTCTTCTCATTCTTCTGCCTCGGTGGTTTATTTCTGGGAACTCAGGCGTGTGTGAAACCTGAACGTGTGCTGATATTGTTTGTTTTCAAGTGTTGTTTCTAAGAACCAACTTTCAGTTTCTGCTGCAGACAGGAAGTGTTGAAGCWGAAGGATCCTGCTGCAGCTTTTACAGATGAAGGTGTGTTCACACACCTTTCTGTTGTGTGTTAGTAACCTGCAGAGACTAAATCTGTTCAAGTGTTTCAGTTCTACTCAACATAAACACCATTCTGAGCTTTAATCATATGTTATAACTGATAAAATATTTAATAACACCCGGAAGAGTTACTCCAACTGTAATAACACCCTGAAGAGTTACGCCAACTGTAATAACACACTGAAGAGTTACTCTAACTGTAATAACACACTGAAGAGTTACTCCAACTGTAATAACACCCTGAAGAGTTACTCCAACTGTAATAACACCCTGAAGAGTTACTAACTGTAATAACACCCTGAAGAGTTACTGTAACTGTAATAACACCCTGAAGAGTTACTCCAACTGTAATAACACCCTGAAGAGTTACTAACTGTAATAACACCCTGAAGAGTTACTGTAACTTTAATAACACCCTGAAGAGTTACTCTAACTGTAATAACACCCTGAAGAGTTACTCCAACTGTAATAACACCCTGAAGAGTTTAACTGTAATAACACCCTGAAGAGTTACTTTAACTGTAATAACACCCTGAAGAGTTACTGTAACTTTAATAACACCCTGAAGAGTTACTCTAACTGTAATAACACCCTGAAGAGTTACTCTAACTGTAATAACACCCTGAAGAGTTACTCTAACTGTAATAACACCCTGAAGAGTTTAACTGTAATAACACCCTGAAGAGTTTAACTGTAATAACA